AGCAGATCACAGATTCCTCAAATGGATTTGCTATTCATAAATGAACAATACATCTTCTTTAGACCTAATGTTCCTAAGAAATGTCTACGACCACTCCCTGGAGAACTGGCTTTTTCAAGGCTGATTTCATTCCTATTGAAACCAATAGAACGACTTTGATAGGAATTGGATAGAGACCTTGGCTAACCGTGATTGGTCAAGAGGATTACATGACTTTATTTCTGTTCCCCAAATGAGTGGAAAAGTCCTTCTAGCATAGATATTTGAATATGAATACTTAAATGTTGTTTCCACCACTATGGGTGAATAGAGTTTTCCACATTCACTTGCAGCACTAAAAGATGAGGGCAGCAATGCCTGTGTGAGAAGCACTTACACACAATGAATGCAAATATTGGCTACATTCACTGAAAAACATGAGCAAATATTTAGAGACTGTTCTCAACCTGCTGTAGTGTCTAGTGCAGATGTTTTTTTTCCCCACGTGCTGCGGGATTTTGGGAGGATAGGCTGTGGTAGGTCAGGTAGAACTGTAACTAGAAGATCATGAAGCTTTTACTTAGTATGACCAAAATGTTAATGATCAATATGATATTGAATTCAAGCTGTTTTATTCAAGCTTCTTTTCCTTTTCTGTTTCCTTAAGTGCCGAGGCCCATTGCTTTTGACATCATGCCGGAAAAGGGAGAAACCAGTATTATTAAACAGCATCCCCCTCGAAGACCTCAAGTAAGATGAATTTTAAAGGCTTCCTAAGGAAATGCTTGGATTTAATGGTAACCTCCCATTTTAACTGTAAACATATGAAGGGGGTATATTGAGTTTTAACTGTATTCACACAGGAAAGACATCACAATGCAGTATTATTGGCAAGATAATATCCCAGAGATGCATTGGCCCTTACTTCTTGGGGGGTAGACATATGAACAACCTACTGTTGGCACTGGATTTATGACCCACATACCTTGTTCTGGGTGGACCCAAACCCCTCAGACTGATCACAACCTTTCCATTCAATAATAGGCACATTGTATTGATACACAGTGGTAGCAGATAAGAATAATGCAAGCAATTCTATACCTACCAGTCCTAGAGCTGCACAGAGTCAAGGTACATCTGACCAGTACGTGAGCTTCGCTCTGAGGTTCTCTCTTGAATGTCAGATGTCAACAGCTTGGAGGTTGGAGGTTGAGGCCTACCCACCTCAGTGGGGTGGGTGAAATGGGTTGGTGGTATGCCCTCTGTCCATGGTGGCCTCCGGTTCCCCTTTCGGGGACACTTTGCAGCTCTGAAATCCCTTCTTTTGTATTCTTATCCCCTCCTGATTCATTTCTGGCCATTGCTGATTGGTCTCTCAGTGGTCATCATGCTGTCCACATTCTGTCCTGTCAGCATAATCCTTTGTTTCACAAACCCATCACATGCACACATCCCAATTTGGGGTTTACTGATCTTCTCCTAACTTGGTCTGTTCCCCCAAAACCAGAAATCCCAAGGGCTCTGCAGCTGGGCACTGTGACCTGGTGCCACCTTATCTCATGTTATGGACAGTGTAGGACATGCCTTCAACTTCCCAGCCTGAGTGTCACTGCTTGCCTGTATCAGACAGGTGGGCCTTGAGGAAACTTTCAGAAACAGGCTTTTTTAGAAATAAGTTAACCCTTGCTGTTGCCTCGGACCATTATTTTAATGCATATCTACTTCACCTAAAAGCCAGTTCCCAAAAGCAAACCTCTAAATACCATTTTCTAGCCATCACCTACCACCTGATAAAAGGGGCCAGGGATTCACTGTACTACCCATGAAGATGCTCTAAAACTATGGTGAAGTGGAAGCCATGTCAGCAGTCAGTAAAGGAGGGGTTAAATTGGGTTTAACCTCCACTTTTTGTGGGATAAGAGGGCACACACAAGCAGTTATGATAGAGAAGTTGAGGCCTAGTAAAGCCTCATCCCTTTTACCTCATGGTGAGTGGTTGGTGTGTTAAAACTCATCCTTGTGTAAAATTATTTTATTTTATAAAGAAATGGAACTTGATTTTAATCTGGCTGTATAACAGTATAATACCACTGTCTTCTGGGGATTTAGTTACTTCTGCTTCACACTGGTGTAATAGAAACTGTCCAGACTTTGAAAAGCTGCTGATCAGTCTATATAAGAACATGCTGCCTCTATCTACCTGTCCTTCTGCAAGTGTCTGCACCCCTGCACTCGATCAGATAGGCCCTCAGAGCTGCTTGGGGTATAAGGTCATGTCATTTTCTAGTGATTAACCCCAGGAAGAGGGGTGCCCTCATGCTGCCCACTAGCATGCCTTTCCTGTCCATCTTCATAAGTGGCCTCATCACTGCAGTATTTCAGCGCCTGCCCTGAGGGGCAGGGAAGTCAAAGTCCGAAGTCCATCCCAAGCCTAGTGACCCATCAGGCCTATGTAGTTAAGACAAGCCATTTCCTGTAGCCAACAACACACAAAAGAGTCTTGCAGCCAGCAACATGACCAGGTACCCTTGACTCCCCAGCATGAACAATCAAATACACATTTAAAGCTGGGCTGACTGAGGGTAGCCTCTCTTGCAAGTCCAGAAACTTGTAGGAGAGACAGGACTGAACTCAGTACAGTCCACGTCTGTACTGAGACAACTTCACTAATTTGCCACCATGTACTAGCTTCATTTTCTGGATGGAAACGGAGTCACCAGTGATCAGTGACTTGCTCAGTCAGGCCCTAAAGCAGGAGCTAAAGTGGGAACAGAAACCAGGTCCTGCACTTCCCCATTAGTTCCATGCTAGTACCCGAGTTACACAGGCCAACCTTCCTGCCTTATCGGGATTAGAGCTCTGTGTGTGTAGCTATATATACATACATACATACATATATATGTGTGTGTATCAATATATATATATAGATATATACACAAAGTGTGTGTGTGTATCTATATATATATATATATATATACACACATATATATGTGTATATATATATAGAGAGAGAGATACACACACACACACATATCCATCCATATATATATATATATATATATAGATACACACACACACACACACACACACATACATATACATACATACGTACATACACACTTTGTCCTTCACGGGCGAAGATGACCGCATCCAGCGGGGGGAGGGGAGGGAAGAAGAGAGAAAAGAAGTGGGAAAGAAAAAGAGAAGGATAAAAGAGAAAAGGAGAAAAAAGGGAAAGGGAAGAGAACGAAGTGGGGTGGAGGCTAGGTCATGTGAGGATGTAGGTGACTTGTAAGTCTGATCTTTGCTTTGAACAATCTGCTGCAGCAGGGGCAGGAGAGCAATGAGGACCGGATAGGGAGGTTTTCGAGTTCCTGGCCGCATATTTCTTCATTGCTTCTGCCGTGCATTGCTATTCAAAGGCCAATGCTCCGTTTTGGATTTGGGACCTCCAGGATTGTTGGTTGCAAGTGATTTGCTACCATGACTCTGGGTCGATGTTGAAACTCTTTAGGGACACCTTTAGGGTGTCCTTGTACTGCTTTTTTGGCGTGCTGTGAAAGCGGACTGTTTGATTCACTAAGAATCAGTGCAAACCCAAAGACCTTTTTTAACGGTAAAAACAAGTTTAATTTCCCTAGTGAAAGCAAGGTGCCACGCGGCAGTCAAATTCAATATTTCTGAAGCTACCAGAGCTCCCAATAAACAAAACAAAACAAAACAAAGAAGTTCTGCTAAATTCTGCATTTTCCAATTTTATTAGCCAAAGCTTTGACTCTGCATATTGCTATTACACTGCTGGTTCAATTTGGTGAAACCTTGCCTCAGTGCCAAAAGAGAAGGTTACCATATCCTCTAGCCTATTGCACACCCTCAGACAAGACATATACCTTGCTTCTGGACAGCGGCATGCAGGAAAAAGATCCTTCCAGAGTCACAGCCAACTACGTGACATTGATTAAATCCTCCTGGAAACGCAGTGTCCATGAAGTGCAGCATCTCAGGAGACAGTCTGGGTGAGGCAGTAGGGCCTTCCTGGTGTGGCGGGATGGCAACAAGGCCAGGCCCCAGACCTTTGCAAGGACAGCAGCATGACTGTTGCTTCTTTACTGTCAATGGTTCCTAAACTGTTGCCTTCTACAGTGCAAGCCTCATCAAGCTATGGCAGACTGCATGCAGCAGCTCACTTGCCCTGAGCCAGCTCAATCGCTGCTTTAGGCACAAGCTAGTGTCCAGCCAGTAGCTCCTGCAGCTGTGAGAGGGTCAACACAGGACTCCTGCTGCTTGCTTGGGCCACAGAGAAGCAGCAGTTGAGCACAGTGTCTGCTTGTTTCCAGTCTTCCCTGCTTTTATTCCCAGGCAGAAAAATCAGCTTCCCCACTTATAACATGTATCCCAATTTTGGAAGGTTGATCGAGGAGGCTGGGGGACGAGTGCATGCGATATGCCGTAAATACAGTATTTTGAGAGAGCGCTGTTTGAATCTAACAGATGCAACTGGTTTATGTATCTGACCACAAACAATACGACAGGAACCCATGACAGATGAAGCAAACCGGTGCAGATTTCTTGCCAAAGCGTTTTGTGTGATAACTGATAACTGTCTTTAAACAGCATCAGAAATATACTGATCTGGATAAAAAAAAAACAACCCCAACCAACCAAACAAACCTATGCACCATCCCCTGCCTCAGTTTCCTTGCTAGCCTTGAGTTTTCTTTGGGATCAGAGGGTCCAAGGTCCTTCTCCTGCACCTTCTTCTGCATATAACTTATCCTCTGAATATGTGCCGCCTCCTTCTGCTCCATAAAGTTGCTGGTAAGAGGCTCTCCCTTTAATGAACTTTCTCTGTCAGGTGACCCTCCTGATCACAGAATCATAGAAAATTAGGGTTGGGAGGGACCTCAGATGGTCATTTAGTCCAACTCCCTACTCAAAGCAAGACCAGCCCCAGTCAGCTTCATCAGACCATCAAAATCCCCCACCCATGTGATCTGCTGCTTGGTTACCTGGCCACATAAAAAGGGACCATTGTAATTCAGGCTTTAGGGGATTTCAAGGAAACGTAGCCTGAAATTTAGCATTTCCCCCAAACCCTTGTAAGCTGCAGGAAATGGCCTGAAACCGCAGAGGAGAGGGTTGGGGCAAAAAAGTTTAAAAAAATTACGGTGGAAGCCCCATATGTTTAATAAGTGGTGAGCTTTACTTTTCTTCAAACAGCTGAAGATCAGCCTATGTGCTGTTATTCAATGGTAATCAGCCCCATGGTGGGCTCCCTCAGCCAATCAGGCATGGGAGAGCCCGCTCTGAAAAAACACCTGAAACTGGCTCCAGCAAACCTGCAGGGAGCTTGTTTTTCCCCTTGCTGGAGCCTGAATTACAGTGGTCCCTAGAGTCTTCCAGTTGACTAATAAAGTACTGCCAAGATTGAAATGGTGCTCTATGGTTAGCTTGGTGTCATTACCCTTTGCTATTTCAGTCCAAGATGAAGGTAAAAAATGACAGCAAGGAAAGCAGGCCAGCCTTGGGAAAAGAGTGGAGTTTGCTGTTTGATAGACACATGCAGAGAATCCATCAAATCAAAGAGAACTCACACGCTACACATAAACACCCCAAAAAGCAACATCATATATAAAGGCATTTCCCGAGTCCTACTCTCAGTGCCACTGTCAATACAGCCAAGGATCCTATTAACCCTTTTTGCAACAACATCATACCGGGCGGTTATGCTTACATTTCTTGATTACAGCGAGCTCCATCTTTTTTCAGGCTCTGTCTTGCAGCCTCCCATCCCCATGTCTGCAGGCGTGGTCTGCATTCTTTCTTCCTGGATGCATGTCCTTGCCTTGAAGCTATATTCATTATTTCTAACTGAGGCCAGCTTTCAGAGCTATACTGGTCGTTCTGCGTAATAGCCCAGTCCTCAGTAGTATTTACCACTCTCCTGGTGTCTGCTATCTGCACATTTTCTCTGCTGTGATTTTACAGATGTCTATTTCCAGACCATAGATGAAAAGCATGCATAGCGCTAGGCCTGGTACCAATCCCCTAGAAACATGCCAGCTGAATGATGATTGCCCATTAACAAGTACTTCTTAAGACTTATCGGTAAACCATTTAATCTGTGCTGTAATACTGTGTAGTGCTAATGCCTTAATCAGACTGCTGTGTGGCGCAAAGTCAAAGGCCTTTCAGTTGGTTTATATACCAAGATTACATCTGTGCAGTCACCTTGATTGCAGTAACCAAATTTGCAAGCTCATCAAAAATGAAATCAGGTTTAGTAGACAAGACCTATTTTCCATAAAGCCACAGTGAGTGGCATTAATTATATTCCAGGCCTTTCATTCTTAATTAATTTAATCCTGTATCAGCTTTTCTGTTATTTTGCCTAGGAATGATGTCAAACTAACTGGCTTATAATTAATTACCCACATTATGCACTGGCATAAACGTTTGTGGGATCAAGCTCTTAATTATAAAGGATGTAAAAAGCATTCCACTGTTTTTTTCCCATCACCCCCAGCTGAGCTGACACATGGTAAATGACCTGCAATAATCAATCTGTTGTAAGATTGCTATCAAAAAGTTTCTTCTCTCGGGGCACTTTCTTTTAGTGCCTGAGTACTTGAACCCAAAAGGTGTGCTAGTTTAACTAAACCAACCTTAAGTAGCATATCCCAGTTTAACTTGTACCTATATGGGAAGTGAAACACATTGATACTGGTATCATGGAATTGCATTCGGTGGTGATGTAACAATGCAGGGTAAAAAAACCGCTCTCTTGACTGACAAATTTATACTAGTATGAAAAACAAGGGTAGCTCAGACCACATATTCCCAGATCACAAGCCTAATTGGAATTGAATTACAAGGGTTGGACTGTTCTTAAAAGAAATCAAAAACAGTGAGCAGGAGGCCACTGACTGCACTTTATTATAATTCTCTCCCCCTCCTATCCCTGATCTAGTACTTGGCTGGCTTTGGAAACTCCCTGAACTCTTCCCTCCTCTTCCCCTTACCTGCAAACTGCTTTTAAGAGGAAAAATTGCTAGGGATTTGACTTGTGACCTTGTAATTGCTTCTCCCTGCCTTCTGTTTCCATTCAGTGGTTCTTGCATTTGAAAGGCCAGATCCAAGCCCCACTGCCATCCATGGAAAAGCTCCCAATGAGTTCAGTGGGTTTTGGCAAATGTCCTCTTTTCTGGACTCTCTGAATCCCGAAGCATGGTCTCAGCAGTAGGCAGGAGCAGCATTTGCTTTGTGCCTACAGTGCAGATCAGCCTCCTGCACAACTTGCTCTTTTTTTGTTTGCTTTCTCCCAGGATCCTCTCCTGCACCATTGAAGTCAAGGGGAGTCCTGCTGCCGGCTTCAGCAGGGGCTCTGCAGCTCTAAGGACAGGGAATTTCCTCCCTTTCCATCTCAGCTTCCTTCAGTCTCCGCTGAACCTCCAGGTGGACAAAGTGACAGAGCTCGGTGAATTCAGGCGCCCACTGGGACTGCATCTGCAACCTTCTGCTGCTCTCACAAAGATCACTTCGAAGGGCTCTGCTCTCCCAGCCCTTGCTTTTCATATGGCTCCTCTCTTATTTGCTTTTAGACCTCATCCTGACTGATGCTGTTTGCTCCAATTGTTTCTGTTCTTGGCCCAATTCTGAAGACTTTGAAACTCAAGGCGATTTGGGCTTTGAAGGGACAAAAACTGAGAATCTACATCCAAATAGATTCTCTGAGGGGCCAAATTCTGCTCCCCTCACTTGCCTGGGGAGAGCAGGCTCGGAGAACTGCTGGGATGCTAAAGTCAGTGGCATGTGCTTGTGCATTCAATAAGCATTTAAAAAAGGAAGATCTGCCCACTGAACTTCTTGAGACTCATTGCCTCTAGCCTCACAACAGCGCGGTGACGACGAGCCAGCTATGGCAGGCCAAAGGGGCCCCAGCCGCAGCTCAGCTACTTAGCTGAGAAGCGTTCCCAGGGGGCTGACAACTGAGTAGGAGCCCCCAGGTCTCCTAGATAGAGCGGAGTAGGTGGGTTTGGCTGGAGTGTCCCACTGCTCTGGTGCTTCCCAGGAGGCAGACTGGTTTCTCGGGTCCATTAGCAGTTGCATGCGATTTAGAGCAGCCATGTGGTTGCTGCAAGTTGCATCCAGGGCCATGCTGGTCTTGACCACCCCAGGCTTGGAGAGCAGGCTCTACCTTGGACCTGCATGGAGCAAACATCTGCCAAACCTGAAGAAGCCAACCCAGTTTCACTGGCCACCAACTAGCAAAAGAGTAGCGATGCAGTTTGGAAGGGCAACGTGTGCGAATGACACTGCTGCTTCTCTTCTGATACAGGTCAAACCTCAGGATAATCACTACCAGGTCAAATTAAATGGTTGTTCATACCTTTAAAATAACAGAGCCAGGTTTTTGGGCTGGGCTGCTCGCAGACAGCTGTGGAATTCATCTAAGAGCATTTTCTAAGAGCATTTGATTCCTTCAACCTTTCATGAAACATCTAAAAGCCCTTCCTCCTCCTTCCCTCCCCTCCCAGCCCTTGCCAAATGTTTTCCCGTTGTCCTAAACTAAATTCCCACTGCAGCTGAGCCGTGTCTAATGGGGCAGGCTTGGCTGCATGCATAGGGGCAGCTACAGCTGGCTGTACAGTCCCCCATTGCCAATATTTACAATGATTACTTTCAGTCATCTGTGTCATGCCGGGCATTTGAACAGCCCTGGACAAACATGCATTGAAAACACAGCCCTGCCCACAAGGTCATGTAAGTAAAACCAAGATGGGCCAGGGGCTAACAGAGAGGAAGGGTGAGAAGATTACAGAGGAAGTAAGGAGAAGCCACTGGAAGAGGGATGGAAAGATGACTGGGAAGACTATGGCAGGGTGAAAGCATTAGTGGTTAATGTGGAGACTGAAGCTAGCAAAGGGAACAATTTTCTAGGAAGTGTGAAGGGAGAGTGAGGGGAAACTGAGATAGTAACAAGAAGAAAGGTCTGGGTAGAGCTGGGATGCGTGTAGTAGGAGAACATGAGAGCAGGTGGAGATAGAGCAGACCTTGGAGATGGGCCCAGGATATTTGATGTTGAGGTAGTAACTAGCAGGTAGCCCAGAGAGAGTTTCCAGAAGGATGTGATGTGATGGAGGAGGAGCAGTGCGAGAGGAGGCTGGCAAGAGCATCTTGGATGGACTGGAATAGTAAGAGTTGAGAATTCGGGATGCCAGGTTGAGGTTACGAAGATAAAGGCTATCTGCAAGAGATTCAGTGAAAAGAAGGGCAGATCTTAGTGGCATCAGAGAAAGGAGCAATAGGACTTAAGGGACAATGAGATTCAGAGGGAGAAGGCAATGGAAAAAGTGAAGAGGAGACCAAAATTGGGCTCCTGCAGGAGAGGAAGGAGAATGGACCTTGAGTGGAGATAGAGAAGGGAAACAGTGGGAAGACAAAAGGTTTCATTTTGGAGAGGATGAGTCTTGACTGGCACAAGAGGTGTGGTCCAGCTGGTCCTGTTTCTGACAGTGGCTGGCGCCAGATGCTTCAGAGGAAAGCATCAGAGTGGGCAGATGTGGAGCAATCTCCCCCTGACATAGTGCTGATAACCGATAAGGCTGAGACAGCAGCAGGGGTCACCGTCAAAGGCAGCCTAGTGGATAATAACTGCCAGAGTGGATCAGATCCCTGTTCATAATCCTTTAAACCTCTGCTATTAGCACATTATATTTATTTATATTCCTATATTAATAGTACTAAACAATAACTCTCACTTAAGATTTGCTCCTCCGACCATGGGCTCTTTCTGAAGCTTCTAGCTACTATATATAAAGCAAAGCACCAGTGACTTCTCCCCACCCTCCCCAGAAACATTTTCAGTGCTACATAACAACATGGAGCTAGAAGTGCTTCTTCCTTTTCAAGAGGCAGCGGAAGATCCCTGCTGCGGTCTGTTTCCAGAGAAAGGCTCTTGGAAATTTCCAAACTGGAAGACACCCGCCTGTCTAATCATGCAGAAAAAGTGAAAACTTTAGCTTGAAGCCCCAAGCTTTCCCCTCCCTCCAGCTCATTGTGGGAGCAGCCAGTACATTAGAGAGTTATTTGCCTGCCATCCTATTTACTGCCTCTGTGGCACTGTGAATGATTTACAGCTTGGCCAGTAATTTGCCGTGTCAGCTGCTGCCATCTAGTGTCATCTTTTAAATTAGTCCAACTTCTGATTAGTTTTTCAGGTGCTGGGATGATAAAGGGAGTAGTCGGCCCTGGGTGAACCTTCTACCACGAGACCCAGGAAAGATAAAACCTAGGAGGCTTTTCCATGGGGACTAACTAACTTGTGAAAAGCGGGGAGGGTGTCAAGTCACCGAGTTGTGCTTGAGATTTCAGTTCCACTCCTGGCTATTTGGGACCAAGAGTGCATTACTTAGGCCCGAATTCATATAGGCCCCCAAGCATGTGTTTGAGTTCAGCTCTACTTGCATCTTGTCCTGTGTGCAGAGGTTTGCCTTGAGATCCCCGTGTTTCAAGTCTCCATTTGCCACTTGTGACAAGGATATTTTTCTCTTGTCCATTCAGATTGTAACCCTGTTACTTCTTTAGGGTACCCCCTCCCCTCCTTGTCTTGCTGGGTTGCAAGGGTGCTGGTTTCTTTCAACTCCATTTCATCTGTTCTCACCCAACGTCCTTACAGCACTGGCAGCGTGGGCCTTCACCATGGCTGGGGGCCCCTGGTGTTACCAAAATGCTGTTACTGCCTTGGATCCAACCAGTGAAGCACAAATATAGGATTTGTGAAAGGTTTCAGGCCAGTGGTGGAATTGCTGGGGGAACGAGGTCTTTCTTGAATGTACTCCCATTTTTTACTTACACTTATATTTACTTTCTCAGAAACACACACTCATGCACACCACATGCATGTGCATACATACACATACACCCTCCTCCCCTCTACTCAAATAACATTCACTCAGGCCTCCCCACCCACAAAATTTAAAGTCCTAAACAGCTTTGCTCATTCCTTTTTTTGGTTGGTGATCCCTATTTATTCAGCTACTGGTCTGCATAAAAAAGCTTAATTGTTTCTTTCCCCTCCCTTATAAGAAGGGTATGGTGGACCTCATAATAACCTAAATAATAAAAGCATCTGTACGTCAAATACAAGATTAAAACACGCGCCCTGCTCTGCAGAGAATAAACTAGACCATCTAGTCCTAGCAATTTGCCACTATTTAGTTTATCAATTTCCTCCAGTACTTCCTCCTAAAGCAGAAACAGTGTAAATGAAAATGGAGATGCCTATGGGGCTGATCTGAAGCCTATTGAAAGCTGTAGGAGTATGACCCAAAGAGAAAAGGACCACATTCAAAACCCATCATACGCCTTTAATGGGTTGGAAGGAGCCATAAAAGTGATATGATCGGTACACAAAAGCATCGTGGATTAATCCTGAGATTTAGAATATAGAAAATGAGGGTGTGAAGGGACCTCAAGAGGTCATTTAGTCCAACCCCCTGCTCAGAGCAGGACCAGCCCTAACTATAGTATCCCAGCCAACGCTTTGTCTAGCCCAGGCTTTAAAACTTCCAAGGATGGAGATTGCACCACCTCTCCGGGTAACCTGTTCCAGTGTTTTACTACCCTCCTCCTGAGAAAGTTCTTCTTAATATCTAACCTAAACTTCCCTTGCTGCAGCTTGAGCCCATTGCTCTTGTTCTGTCATCTGCCCCCGCTGGGAACAGCCCAGCTCCATCCTCTTTGGGACCAACCTTCAGGGAGCTGAAGGTGGCTATTAAATCCCCCTTCAGTCTTCTTTTCTCTGGACTAAATAAACCCAGTTCCCTCAGCCTCTCTTCAGAAGTCCTGTGCCCCAGCCCCATAACCATTGTCATTTGCTAGACTCTTTCCTATTTGTCCACATCCTTTCTGTAGTGGGGGGCCCAAAACTGGACACAATACTCTAGATCTGGCCTCACCCTAGCCTAATAGAGGGGAAGAATCACTTCCCTCCATCTGCTGGCAACACTTTTACTAATGCATCCCAGGATGCCATTAGCCTTCTTGGCAACAAGGGCACACTCTTGGCTCATATTCAGTTTCTTGTCCACTGTCACCCCCAGGGCCTTTTCTGCAGATCCACTGCTTAGCCAGTCGGCACCCCCGGCTGTACCAGGGCACGTGATTATTCTGTCCTAAGTGCAGGACTTTGCACTTGTCTTTATTGAACCTCATGAGATTTTTTTTGGTCCAATCCTCCAACTGATATGCAGGATACGTCTGCTCCTGCCCAGGCCCATCCCCTTGCATTTCCTGTTTTGTGTTGTGACAGACTTAAACCTGTGCCTTGATTACTCCATTTGCTTATAGGCCGCTCAAAATCCTAGTCCTTGGCCATGATTCAAAACTTATGGCCAAAATAATGTCACAGTTTAGGGGGCGGGAAGACAAAACGGTGTTAATTCTCCCAGAGGTTACTGTCTGGTATTAAATGTGAGTCCAGTTTTCTTCTGGTTGCAGTTATTGAGAGATTTTATGGGAGTAAGAGTGCATTCCAGCACTAGAAATACCTCCAAAGAGTTCCCAAGCAATAGAGGATTTCATTATCCTTCTGTCATTTGGTACATGATAAGCAGGTATCTTAATACCTTAAAAACTAACTCCGTATTTATAGCTGCCCAGGAAGTAATCTTTAGCTTTTAAATCCTCTTTGTATCCAGGATAGGTATTTGGATACTCAAACAGCTGGATAATAGCACATTCTATAGCGTTAATTAAATGTCTTTAAGAACCAAATGTGCTTGGAAAATTGTCATCAGTAGCAAATATTATGGGAAATAATAATTGGGTACTGGGAAAACTTATCACTAGTGTCCCATTAGCTGATGAACTGAATCGCTGTCAGAGTCCTATTAATTTGTACACAAACACTGGCTCATTCATCTCCCGTTAAAGAGTAAATAGTCATTCCCAAATGCCGATGCATACTAAATCACACTGGAATTTGCTCTGGATAATTAGTCAGCCTAAAAAGCATAGACTGGTGTCCTCCATAGCACCCATCAAGCCAGCTGATGCTTTCAAAGCACTGGATACTCTTCAGCTTTTCTTGACTCAACAAGACATAGATGATCAACTCTTTCATTTTGCAGAATTATCTTTTATACTGGCAATGAGTTCATGTGTGAGTGCAGAGCAAAAATATTGGACTGATTATTTTACTCCCTCACAACCATATCTTTCCTATGTAGGGAGCACTTTACAGTGATAAGATTCATAGATTCATAGATGCTAGGGTCAGAAGGGACCTTAACAGATCATTGAGTCCGACCCCCTGCCTAGGCAGGAAAGAGCTCTGGGGACCCCAGCCAGATGCCTATCCAGCCTTCTCTTAAAGACCCCCAAGGGAGGGGACAGCACCACCTCCCTTGGAAGCCCATTACAAGATTTGGCCACCCTTACTGTAAAGAAGTTTTTCCTGACATGCAGCCTAAATCTGCTCTCTGTCAGTTTGTGACCATTGTTCCTTGTTACCCCAAGAGGCGCCCTGGTGAACAGAGCATCTCTGATCCCTTGCTGGGTCCCCCTAATGAATTTGTAGGCGGCCACAAGATCACTTCTCAGCCTTCTTTTGTGGAGGTCTAGGTCCCTCAGTCTCTTCTCATAGGGCTTATCCTGTAAGCCCCTAACCATACGAGTGGCCCACCTCGGGACCCTCTCGAGTCTATCAACATCCTTCTTGAAGTACGGCACTGAAAACTGGACACAGTACTCCAACTACAGTCTGACCAATGCCACATAGAGGTGGGGGGATCACCTCCTTGGATCTATTTGTCGTGCATCTGCTGATGCACGATAAAGTGCAGTTAGCTTTGCTGATGATTTCATCACACTGCCGACTCATGTTCATCTTGGAGTCTGCTATGACTCCGAGATCCCTTTCCACTTCTGTGCTGCTGAGGGTCACTTCCCAGCCAGTAGGTGTGCTGGACATTTTTTGAACCCAAGGTGCAGCACTCTGCACTTGTCCTTGTTGTACTGCATCGTATTGTATACTGCCCAAGATCTTGTACATTAAGCTTTGATTTAAAATAATCATCCTACAATTCTCATAAATGTACATGGGCAGATCTAGAAGTTTGAAAAGGCGGTTGCAGATAGTGAGGAGCATCATCATATATAAAACAATACATATACGTCTTCAGTTACAAATAACTTGAAACAAAACTAATACACTGGGGGCCTAGCACTGCATTATTTAGTTTAAGGTTGAAGCAAAAACAAATATAACATAATTGTAATGAGTTTAAAGTAACCTGCAGGCTTTGAAATAAGGAACTTCATCACCAAAAGCAGCTAACAGACAGCACAATTGCAGAACAAAGGCTAGCTCGATTGGTGGAACAACAACAGTACAACATTTTTGTACTGTATTTTGGGTTCATTATAAATGTTGAAAATTAGTCTTTGTTGTGTCTTGATAGAGCATACAGAAAACATCTCACAAGAAGTTGAAAATGGCTGGCTACTGATAATTAGTCACTTCTGCATAGTCAGTCCTCATTACCAATCCCCATGGGGTAAGGAATTAGCCAGCTTTTATTGCAGCAATGAAGCCAGAAGGCAGCCAAAATGCTCTTTAACTTGCATTTTGAGCATTTCCTCAGTTCAGGCAGCTCACAAAGCCATGGCCCTTCACAAGTGTGTTCCAACTATTACTGTGATCCAAAATGCACATAAGATCTGAGAGCATTTGTCAAGGATGCAGGTCTCCTGAGTCTACTCTGGGCCTCTGCTGCCAGAATCAGAGCTGGAGAGAGATGTCGAGGCTGTTTAACATTTGGCTTTGGTGTTTTATGATCGCATGGAATGAGAAAGTCTGACCCTTATAAATATTGGGCTTGTAGAAGCTTGAACCTATTGACCTGCCGCCAGTGATCACTTCAGAGGCACGCTGGAGACCGCAAGAGCAGGAAGCAGCACAAAAAGCAAAGGTGGGTATCACAGCAACACGGGGGAACTGCTGGGGAAATCGGCCCATTTCAGGGGTGCCGACCCCCTGGGAAATACAAGCGGCGGGCCACTTTCCAAACATCGTGCTTCAGTTAATTACAGGGACCGATCTAAAAGCTCCAACGAGAGTCAACGAGAGTTTTCCACTGACTTCAGGGAGCTCTGGATGAGCCCTGCTTTTAGCAACTTCAAAACAGGAGGGTAGTACAGGAGGGTGGCTTTTCTACCCAAAGAGCATGTCTAGACCATTTCTGTGGCATCCCCAAGAGAAATGTCCCACTCACCAACTCCTGCTCTGCACACCCAAACCCAGAAAGGTGTCAGCGAAGTGGGAATTAGGCACATGGGGCATCTGTACACATGCTCCGGGGTGGAGGGATGGATACTTTAATTAGATCAGCTCCGAGAGCCACTCTAATTAAAGTGCCCACAGCATCACATGTATTCAGTGTCCCGCACTTTAAAATGGCAGCAGGGGCACTTGAACTAAAGCTCGTTTGATGAGCTTTAGTTAAAGCATCCCCTTTGCCATTTTGAAGCATGAGGACGCTGAATAGACATGACACAGGCTGCTGTAGTGCGCTAATTAACACGCTCCAGCAGACTTCATTAACTGAGTCTGCTTCAATGCATGCCAATTAGCACGTGTTGGAGCAGACACCTGGCACATGTATAGGTATCCTTAAATACCTTTGAGGATCTAAACCTTAACGCCCAATTTGCAGAAGTGCTACGTCCCTTGACCTCCATGTGATGACAATTGACTTCTGTAGGCAGTGAGAGTTCACACCATACTTTGACGAGGTAGGGCTGGATTGTACAGCCGACAGGATTAATTCTACTTAACTCTTCATTTATTTATAACAATTGGTTTTGATAGCTATGGCAGTACTTTGAACAATCAGGTCCTACTAATCTCTAGTGAGGCATGCAGAAATGGTAGTGGTGTTTTGCTCCTGGTGACTCAATGTCTTTCTCTGCAAAGTCATATCCAGTTATAGCATACATAACCTACAGTGAAATGACTATATCACAATAATGGAACAGCAAGAAAACAGTCTTGCCAACCTCAAGCATTAAGCCATGATGAATCTGTCCCTGTAAAACTCATAAGGTTGACTTTAAAATGACAAGATTTGATAAAATACATTGAAGGCTTCTTTTATTTGCCACGTGGTGTAGATATGTTTATGGGTCACATTTTCAAGTTTTCCTCCCTAACCAGGAGGGCTAGAAACATACTCATTTAAAACCAAAACAAAATAAAAAAAACCCTCCAGTGATAATGAGATGCCACCAGCTGGAGTTGTAAGGATAAGTGCCAAAGTATTGCAAGAAGATTGTGAGAACTGGCAACAGTGAGGAAGCCACACTCCTCTATATCCGATAAGCATGCTCTTCAGGCATTGAAGGGATGGGGGATGGATTTTATAGTAGTTAGCAGATTATTTTGTCTTGTTAATGGTATTTTTTTAAATTCCTTGCAAGGACTGGGAGAAGAGGGTACAGGCCGTGACACACGCCACAGGAAGACGACAGCACTTGCACAAGCTGCAGATGTTAGAAATGAACCGCAAGCGACAAGAGGTGAGGCTGACATTACGTAGGGGAGAGGTGCCCATTGGATTTTACAGCATCTGAAAGGGAGAGAGAGAGCAAGACTGAAAATCTCCAGGTCTGTTTAATGAGGCTGTAGGCAGGCCAATACAGCAGGTTGTTCAGCTGATGCAGTGCCTGGCTTCAGACCAAGATAAGGGATGCTTATTGGACAACCATGTCAAAAGCTGGCTGGGGTCTGTATACAAGCCCATGTCTTTTCTTCAATTCCCTGCAGAGTTGCCTTTCCATCCTCACCGCCTTTGGTGTATTTTTCCATACTTTGCTCTTTCCTGGTTACCACTCTGCCACCCAGTGTTCGGCTGGGAAAGTGGAACGAGTGGTTTCCATATAGCATTGAGCATAGAGCCTCTGTGCCAGAAGCAGGCACCTCCACTAGCCATGCCTGGTACCTGAACAGCAACTCGCATGGTTGGGTTATCCCAATTGTCTTGAGTCTTGTCCAATTATGTCCATAACTGCATGCTATCAGCATCGGGTGGTGCTGACACTTGACAGGCTTCAGTTCATCTCGAACTGTCTCCTGCTGTTGGTAGGGAACATGCCAGCTTAAATCCTGGACTGTTTTTCTGCTTGTTAATCATTTGTTTTCTGGAAAATGCAGTTTCAGTTGACCCCATGGGTCAAATTCCCTGATTAATTTTTGAGTTACAAAAAACACCCATTGGGCAGGGAAGGAAAGGGTGTTGCCTCTGGATGTGTGAGCCCCACGTCCAAATCGCTCTTTAATTCAGAGTGGCTACAGGAGCTCAAATACTAGGAGAGGGTCACAAAGTTCCCAGATCTGGCCCTAAGTAATGAGCCATGGTGGCTGCTGCAGTTGTTACATCCTCCCTTGCATGAACCGTCCTTAGGCCTTATGAGAAATAGTGAGGCCCAGGGTGGGGGAGTGGTATGGAGGGGTAGCACGCTGACCTGCGCTCCACATACCGAAGCCCCATTCCTAGCTCTGCTCTGACCTTTAGTAATGTTTTGGCCTCAGTTTTCCATCTGTAAAATGGGGGAGTCTAGCCTCTTCTGTGCAGCACCTTGAGCCAAGCAGAAGGAAGGGGGCACATAGATATTATATAATGGTAATGTAGAGAAGATGTCAACACCCAAAAAGATTTCTTGGTGCTTTTTGTTTAGGTTAGATTGTCACTGAGCCCCACTGCTGGTGTGTCCCAGCTTTGTGGGACCCCATACAGCTTTTATTTCCTAGAAAAGCTAAATACCGTATTTTTTTTGCATACAACACACCCCAGAATACGATAGGCACCTTATTTTTGAAAGGTAGAATAAAGGGGGAAAAATCCTTTCCTCGTAGTAAGGCACAGAGTAGCAGCAGCTAGGGAGCTGAGCCTGCTTATTGTTCTGCTCCTTATACATCACAGGCAGATTTTACTTTTGCTTGTGCCTGGCAAGCAGCAGAAACTGCTCTTACCACATTTCTCATGTATAATGCGCACTTCGGCTCCCAGCAGCGGTTCTTTGTATGTGAGAAAACACAGTAATTAGTCCTGATTTTAAGAGATTTGCCTGCACTTGGAACAACCGATACTTCTGTTGATTGGGTGCTGTCAACCCTCAGTCCTGCTGGTTACTCAAGGGGTGAGTGATTTGCAGAATTGAGCCTCTGCCATTCGGAGTTTAAACATTGGAACCCACTTAATCCACTGATACCAAATCGAACCATTTGCCCACCCAGGCAGAGCTGAAGCGAGGGCACCACAGGGAGGCAAAACTCAAACAAAAACCAGAAGAGCTGAAACCTGAGAAAGTGCATGGGAGGATCTGGAGAAACAATAGCTCTGACAGCGAAGACCGGGGCCCTGTCGAGCCTGCTCAAGCTTACACCAAAGACCACAGTAAGTAGAGCCACTTTTCTGTTGAAAATTACCAAGCATTTTAAGCACGGTCAAATAAGCTTTCTTGTGAGAAAGCCAGTGACTGCCAGCCCTAAACACCTGCAGCTGTTCGGTCTCCCGGCATCTCACCTTGTGGAGATGGAGGTTGAAAGGGCTGTCAGGGAAGCAGAGCCAAATGCGGTAGGTTTGCAATGCGCTGGGAAGCCTCAGAAAGGCAAAGATCTCTGTGTTCAGTGGTGGAAGACAGCAGATATCAATACTAATGGTTTCTGAACGTGCCTCTTGAGAACCATGAGCCCGAGCTTAGGGCCTATACAGCTTGGTGGGAGAAAAAAGCATCTGGCAGGCTGCTGAAGCTGTCAGGAGGGGTTTGCATTGTGTCCTCACCACAGCTGTACACACAGTCTCGCCACCTGTCCTGGTGCTGCCTGCTTAAAGTAGGGATTATCCATGCGAGACCCCGAGTGGAGGTGTTAAGGATCGTGAAGGATAAAACGTTGATATCTGCTGACTTTGGCATTCAGCCTGAAGCCCTCTCTAGGAATCCAGCTCCAGAGTGTAAACTCTTCCCTTTTGGATAGAGCCAGCAGTGAGACTCCTCATGGTATTTGCCTGGCCCCTCTCTCACGCAGATGTGAGGAAACACTGAAATCCAGGGTGCTTTCTTCCCTTACAGATACTAGTACATGCTGCAGCAACGACATCAAATGCTAAGCGGCCAGAGCTTTGGTTCCAATACAGCCTTTCTGTGCCACTCTGGCAATGCAAAGGACCATAGAGTTGACATAATAGGACAGCTGAGGGTTTCTTTTTTCCTTCCTTTGCCCTCCCACCTTAATGGCAAGTTGCAGACATGTCTAGAAAAGGGCTAATGCTGTCGGTCGTAGTGCTTGCAATCTAGTGATCCATACCATGTGTGATGGCATGTGGTGGGCTTTTCCAAGCCAGTGTACATTAGAGCAGCTCCAAGGCTGCTTTACTCTATGACCAGGGTTAAAACCAACCAGCAGCACCCAAAGGAATCAGAGATTATAGGAGTGATATAATTCCCATGCCCCCTCTTCTTGGGTTGTGTCCTGGATACAGCTTGGCTGGCTCCACGGACTATGCCCAATAACACTCTACACGAGTGATGCAGTGTTGCCCTCAGATATTCTTACCTCTAAAGCCCTATGACAGTTTTTGGCTTATAAAGACGATCCATTGCTTGTTAAAAGACCTTTGGTTCACTTTGCTTTCATCACAGAACTGAGCTAGCATGGCACTCGCTTCACTGTACCAGAAAGACATCCCAAGGAGGGAAGACAAAGCAAAGCACCCACTTATCAGTAAAGAAAATAGCTTAGCTTTGTGGGCAATGGCCAAGTTCCTTCCTGGTGGAAGAATGTGGACCTCTGGTGTGTAAAGCGCCGGTGGGCTGGTAAAAGTTTCACATGCTGTTTTCACGTGAATATCTGAGCATGTGCACCAAACCAGTGGGGGGCCAGACTTAAGCTCTATGCCCTCCTTGAGTTCCACTCCTGTTCCCTTCTTCTGCCCGATTTGCTGCTCTGCTTTCTGCTCCCTGTCCTGTCTGCTGCTGTGTGGCCAACCTGCTTCCTAATCCGCCACATGCCACATACACAAGCTGCCGGTGCCAGTTCAGGCACCCATGCTGCAGGTTGGCCACCTCAGAGCTAAGCCACCGGACCAATCTTCAGCTGAATTGTATCACTGACCTCTGTAGAGCCACTGAAATTGCAACAGGGCTGCAGACTGTGAAGTCTACAGAAATAATTCAACCCAAACTTCAGGGAACTGAGACTAAAAATGCAGCATGGGGAAGAACCCTTGAAAATGTTAAGATACAAATAAGGGGAAACAAACGGGGCTCCATTCTGTACCTGTTTGTGGCCTGATCATGGCAGCAGGCTTTTCCACCTCTCTGCATTGCACTTTGCTAGGTATTCTGCATTTCTCTCATTTTCTATGGGCAGTAAAGCAGTCAGGGCATGGGAAAGCATGCCCGTATAACAGGGAGTCTGAAGAGTTATTGGAATGATCTTTTGGGTTGCTTTCCTTTAGTCTGTTCAATGCTTACATCTGCTGATCAGCCTTTGCTGGTCCATCTTTCTTTCACCTCCTTCTCTTCCTCCTCAGTGCTTAGCTGCAGTGACAAAGCAATCAACTTTCACGGAGCAGAATCTAGTCCCAGATACTCCACAGATTTCTAAATCCAGTTTCCTATACCTGCCACAACTGGGCCATGGGGAGTCGAGCCTTGTGTTTAGGCCCCAGGTCAGGAATTTGGGTCCAGCGTTGGGACTCAAAACAAGGTCACAGCTAGGGTTTGGAGCCAGTGATCCTACTGATGAATGGGTGTAGAAGATGTGGTCAGGAACAGACCAGTGTCAGGAGGCCAAAGTCAGGAAGCCACAGATCACACCAGGGTAAGGAGCTGAGAACTAAAGCCAGGAGCAAGGTAAGGGTCAGAAGCCTGACACCAATGAACAAGGGACCAGAGCCAAGGCCAGGTGCAGGGCACAGGACAACATGCAAGCTTCCCTGGAGACATGCAGGCAGCGTACCACTGTTGGCCCTGCTGGCTTTAAGGTTGGGTTTGGGGCAGGGTCAGCTTCCTGCCAGTGCAGCAGCCAAACATTGGCTCCCACAAGGATGACTCGTCCCCCACTGGAGCAGAGACTTGTCACAATATTACTTCCTGTTCTTCTTTGTGAAGCAAGGAGGGCTCCTTAGCTGTGTTGAGAGGCAGGAGAAACACCATGGGAACATGGTTATGCAGAGCCTGGGGCTTCCTCCCAAACTGGCAGCAATACAGCTGCATTCCTGTAACACTGGGAAGAGCCACACTGTCTTGTCACTAGGAACCTGCCTGGCACAGTGGGACTATTTGGATTTGGGTCCAGCCAAGCATTCTCTTTCCGGGATTCTTTGGGACCATGGCCCTAAAATTCAAGCCTGCTGGTAGCGTTAAGGTCAAAGCTGGTTGCCCACTGTGCAGCAGAGCTCTTTTGGAGACCATTGCCTCCATTTTTGGTGTATCTTGCAGGCCCACCCTTG